ATTAACTAGGTTTATGAAAATAATTTAACTATATTGTATCAAACTACAATGAATTTTCTGCTAATTGTTTTTATATTGGTGAAAGTATAATAGTTTAATATTTTATTTTAAAATTCATGTTAAGTTTAGAAGTTTTCTTGTGGGTATCATTGCCTGCCTTGGCTCTACATTGTTCACGCTTTTTCATACGACGAAAGTACCATGCTGAATTATTTAGACTTTTCTCACCAAATAACTCTTGTTGGAGTCTATTTCTATATTCCTTTCTTAGTGATGCTCTTTTTTCATACCAATTAATTTTTTCTTCTTTTTCCACATTTTTATTTGGCTTCTCTTTCAATTTTATATTGCTGGTATTCGAGTTATCTGGATTTTCATATTTAGTTTTTTCTGTACCATCATTAGCTGGCTGAATTTTATCTACATTGTTTTGGTTTTCTGGCAATGCTTGGGAATCGTCATAATCTTTCAATAGACCTTTTATATCAAACAGTTCTTGTTTATTGCGTCCCTTTTGCTTTCTGCGCCATTTTTCGGTCTTTCTCTTATTATATTTGCACTTATGACAATTATATCTGTCATCTTTTTTAATTTCTTCTTCACTTGTAACATCTTGCAGATTTGGTTCATAGGTTTTCTTTGCCCTTTTTTTGCTGACATGTTCATTGTATTCCCATTTTTTATCAACCTCACGTTTTTGGACATTTTTATTTTTCTTTTCAGATTTCAGAGAATCTGCATATGAAATCTTCTTTCTATCAATTAATTCCATTTGATCATCAATGGAATCAGTAGAAAAGGTTTCTGAAACCAACATTAAATTATCTTTTTTATTATCATAATCAAGTAATTTTGTGTCTTCAGCCAGTATTGTTTTATTCTCTTCTTCAATTATATCAATTTTCTCAGGTTTTACTTGAATTTTATTATTCTTCAATTGTTGTCTCTCATGTTTAATTCTTTTTGCAATTTCTTCATCCAACCAACTTTTATTTTGTTTGTATATGTTTTTAAGTTTGTTCAAATCACCCAAAAATTCTTTTTCAAATGATGGTTCTATCAAATGAGAATCCAAAACTTTTTCGTATTCAATTGGCTGTTCATCAATACATTTAGTGTGTTTATTAGGATTATCACTATTCAAAGGTTCTTCAAAGACTTTCTTGCAGCGTTTCATTGGTGCCTTCTGGTGTTGCATTTGAACATTATTCATAACTGTTAGCTCTTTCAATTTGCTTCTTAAATAAGAGTTTTCTTCTTGCAGTTTATATAAATTGGATAAAATTTTATTCACAGAAGGTGTATGATGCATAGTACAATCATTTTTGGCACCCCACATATGCCCAATTGCCACTCCTGCAGCTGTGATAACACTTCCCAACATGATAACATTAAGAACAGTACTTAATCTCTTATTTCTTCTGTGAACATATGTCTTGAGTTTACCATTACTTTCCATGAGATAATCCTCATCTCGTGTAGTTTTATCAATGTTTTCATTAAAGTGTGTAATTTGTGGTGTATCTGTTACATGTATGGGATCATGTTTGTCTGGTAATTCATCTTCTGTGGTGTAGTGGTCATCCATGTGCTTATGTTGCATAGGACTCTCATGGTCACTGTCACTGATGACCGATATACCATCAGTATCTTCATCTTTTTCTTTGAATAAAGTTGGAAACCTGAAAGGAACAAAGTGACTCAATGCCCGGTAACAATGCTCAAGGTGGATAATTCAAAACAAATAATAACAGTTGATAAGTGAACTTTTTTATCACTAATAATTTACAAAACTGGGAATTTTATTGATGTTACTGTAAATCCAAATAGATGTGGTTAAAAACTAGCAAATATATTTTATAAAGTCAAAACAATCTTGTAGGACAATTAATACCTATCTCGTAATAAAAACAAGTATGCTGCAATATGAATGGCCTCAGTAAAAATGGCAAGAATAGGTCAAGGTAAAGAGATAGGTGTTAAACATACATTTTTTGAATAATGTGGTAAAACTACCAAAATATGTTTAAATCTACATTTCCAGCGACATAATTTTTTTTTAGTAATAAAAAAAATTGAAGCGCTAAATTATAGACAACCGTGATCATAATCGAAACAATATGCGCAAAATACACACCAGCGCCGTTAGATAATTTATAATCTTGAATAATAGATAAATTAGTAATATATAATATTTTGTGGTAAAGTATTTATTAATTAATAATTATATTTTTGCGTTTACGAATAACATAAATGATACGTATTTATTCACTTTTTACCTTTCGTTCCCATTTTGTGAAAGTTGCAATACTTCTTCGGTATATTCTGGCGCGGGTTCCAGAATTGTCCAACTTTCTCCAGAATCAGAATCACTGTGATCAATAATATTTATATCCATATTGCTTTAATAAAATATTTATTAATTTGAAGGGAAATAAAAATGTCACGCAATTATTGTAAATGCGAAATAACAAATTAATATGTTTTACACTTCTAAACAAAACATTAAAATTCACTGAAATTTAACTAAAAGGAATCCCAAAATGTTCTTGTATTTATTTTTGTGTTTTTTTCATACAACGACATATTATGTCATGTTTCAACATACGCGATTATTTTATTTTTCTTTTGCGTTGTGCGAAATATCAACCAATAACAAATACCACAGATAAAAATTTAAATCAAACTTAGGAATGATGCCATATATAAAAAATAATCGTAAATCTCACCAAGGTGTAGAAAAGTATTTAATAAAGCCGTTTTATTAAATTGTTAAGAAAATAAGGAAATATAATTTGCCTATATTACAGCCACAGTCTTTACAGACAGTGTTTTAAAGATTGGATTTTATTTGACCCTATTTATAATTTCTGTAAAAGCAGACCAGTGGAAAAGCCACAAAAGTAAGGCGCCAAATTTAAAATACTACTTTGATAATTTACGCGCCACACATATATCTTATCTAAATAATTTATAACTTTAAACTATTTAAAGTTATAAATTATTAATTATTTTAACTATTTAAGATTATAAATTTAAATAAAAACAAAATTTTGCAGCATTAATTAGTATATTTTTTGGTACTTGGATCTTCTATGGCATAGTTCTTATCACATGTGAATGAAATTGTCATCGCATATCTCGTGCCTGATGTTACTTTCTCCACATAATGAAGATTTTCAGCACCACTTGTGAAAATACTTAACCGTGCCAATCTTGGCTCTACTGTTTTATTATGCTTCTCATCTACAAACACAAACCTGCCACCTTCAAAGTCTTTATTATAATTACTTAAATAAAGTAAAGTTGTATAATGGAATGATTTATAAGTCTCCTGGAAAATCAAAACATTTGAATTATTTTATTATCTTGTCAATAACAACAATAAAGTTTGTGTTAAAAATACTACCAAACTATTAAACAGTTAGTTTGGAGACAGTATCATTTATGTATTAACATTTCAATGATTAATCATCACACGAGGCTACAATAATACAATTATCATGTCATCCACAATAAATATTAATATTGTTAACCAATCTTACTAAATAAATAAGAATGTTTAGATGGATGTTTGTTTAAGGGATCTTGCTGAAATTCGGCAAAGATGTAGAACATAGTCTGGAAGAATGCATAAGGTGCTTGTTAAGTTTGTTTTAATTTCTTAAGGTTGAAATCATGGGCAACAGCTAGTTTATATATAAAAAATCAACTTACTTTGTCAACATGTGCATGCCAATATTCATCATGTATTGTAACTGCATTTTTTGGGTTAATTTCAGAGAAAAATGTTGGATGTGTTAAATAAATTTTGCTAGGTAACACTCCAAAATGATGAGCAATGGCATATTTTATTTTCTCTTTCACTACCTAGAGTAAAAAGGTTTTATTTTAACAATAATAATATTAAGTTCTGATTGTTCAACAACAGTAATAATTCTGGCAAGACTTTTTTACCTTAAACACATTAAAGTCGGTTTCAGTGAATAAATTTTTCATATCATCTCTTTTATAAATATTAACAAAATGTTGTCCTTTGGATAATGCTCCACTGTGAAGATCTAAGATAGAGGCACCACCTGAAGACCTTCCATATTTAAGACCTTTTTTTGCTATTTGCAGTAATTCTAAAGATTCACTCTCTGAAATTACTTTATCGGTAACAAATCTCTTACACTCTTTTGGAAAGCAACCCTCATATTTATCTATTTCTTTTATATATTTTTCTGAGCAATCTATAATTTGACCTTTTCCAGCCAGTATGTCTGATTGTCTGGCGAATGTAATCGTTTTGTCATTTTTAGAACTAAAGTAAACTATTGTGAGTAGTGAAAATATGACAACTACTCTTGAAAGAACCCTTAAAGGCAAATTACTTAACTTCCTGTAAAAATAAATATTTCAAATTAACCAAATGTCTCAAGATCTATTTTACAAACCGGGTTAATAGATCTTACGATTTCTCTTTTGTATTGATGGAGTCGTTATCTGTTTTTTCATTAGATATCGACTTTTTAGTACGTCTTCTCAATTCAGTCATTTTTCAAATAAACTATGTTTCTACCAATTTTATGGCTTTTTAATGTACTCAAACTCTGCTCGTGACTTTTCCTATAATTATTAATCAGTGTTAAGTCGCGTTATTATTTTTAAATTCTTATTTTATGATTAATACTGATTAATATTTTATCAGAAGTGTAATTTTTTAAACGAGATATGAAAACGTCAGTCAAATCAAATATTAATGTCAGACAAGCTTCAGAACAGACCATATACATTTTGCAGACCATAAGAAAACTCAAAATTACACTTGCATGATAATGGAGTGAGGTTTAACTCCCTTAATTTTTAAGTTTTTGACAATACTCGTTCAGTCGATAAAATTTTATATTCCACTGAATTTTACATTTTGAGCAAAAAATGTAGATAAAACAAGTTTGAGTTTGCTGGATGATCGAGGAATGAGTCGACTGAGACTAAGACATTATGGTATGGTAACATTGAAAAAGTACGACCGTTGTATGTTGATTGCATTTGCTAAATATCAATTTTATGTTAAGAATTTACTTAAAATTTTCTGTGTTTCATTTCATCGAATGTAATACCGTCATGTACTGCCATTAGAAGTAATTAACATTTGGTGTATCAATTGCTGCTTATTTTTGTCGCAATGTACTTCGACGTTGATGATGATGGGGTCGACAATGAATTTTTGCACGTCGTTAGTCGAGAACTCTGTATGTAATTTTAACGTATTCTTTATTGTTCATGCCGTTGTTTTACTTGTATATGATTTTTAACATTAAGTGCAACAAATATTTATACTTTCAGTCACCTTCAGTTCGACTTTTGAAGGGGCGTATGGCATACGAAGTGTACCAACACATACTGAGGATGGCATACCTATCAGGAAAATTTATGTCACCAACTTACCACCAGAAGTATGTATTAAACATTATTTTTTCTGTGTAAAGTCTTTATTTTTCAATAATTATATTTATGTTTTTCAGACTACTCGAACAGAACTTTTTGGTGTATTCGCGCAATATGGCTTTATAAAGAGCTGTTGGCTAAGAATGGGCGATAAAGGTCCAAATCGAACGCCGACCCCTACTTATGCTTTTGTCACGTTTAGTAACCCAGCAGATGCACACAAGTATGTTAACCTTTGAACATTCCTTTGTCTTAACACTAAACACATGGTACGAAATTTATAAATAAAATGCAACACATTTATTATTTATAGTCCAATTTTAACAAAATACAAATAATTCACAGTATAACATTACACATTTTCTCGATTCTATTGTTCCCTTAGGTATTGTTAGTTGACAATGAAAATTGGTACATGTGTTAAATTTTTCTTTTTTCTCAAAGTTTTTATGCATAATAAAGGATAAATATAAGCCAAGTTTATACCAGTTAACCATAAGTGCTCTCTTAAAAGATTGATAACATAAATATTAGTTAATAGAATAAAATCTGTACTTTTGTTTTATTTCAGTAAACAATATAAATTTAAACTTTTTCAGTAAAAATAAAATAGGCACTTTGGGGTAGTATAAAATAATAAAATTTATTCCTACCTGCTTTATACTTGATTGTAATTCCATATCAAAAATTATATATTAAATGTAAATTATAACTATTTTAATAAAACCTGTTTATGAATCAGATGATATACAATTCTGAACTCTCAATAGCTAAATATATTTTATGAAATACAATTGCAGAGCCTTACAAGCACCATGTCATGAAAAGACACTCCGAGGTCGTAGTTTGAGGATTTCACCTGCTGACAGTTGGCACCAACCAGCAGAAGATGCTGATGGTAGAGTCCAGTGGCGGCCAAATGGCCAGAGAGTGGAAGAAATACCACCACCTGTACCAGCGGCAGAACAAATAGAAAAAGACAAAGGTTTTTAAAGTTTAAGAATATAAATACTAAAGAATAGGCATTTAGCATTGGCAGGCCCAAGGATATTTGTATAATATTACAACACTATTACAATGGAATTCTTTAACATTTAGTAAGGAATCATAAAATGTCTGTCTTTGTAATTAAATCTTTTGAATAATGATGTTTATTTTTAGAAAATTTTGCACAAGATGTAGACGTAAATCCAGAAGTTAAAACAGATGAAATCAATCGACCAATGGTAAGTCTTATATATTCAAAAATCTATTCTTATATTAGATTGGATTCCCTTAATACCTCTCTTTACTTTGTAACCAATAGGATCATAACATTTTTAATTATTTATTTAGATGGAAGATGTCAATGAGGTTGAGGATGACCGCAATGTTATGGAAGGTTACGGCATACTGGATGTACTCAATCCGGATTGTTTGACGCACATTATGAGCTATATACCACTGAGAGATCTCATCCGCTCCGAGAGAGTCAGCAAGAGATGGCAAATGGTAGTCCAGGAATATGTTGTTGGTTAGTTTTATAAAATATTTTCTATTAATATGACTCTATTTCAAATAGAATGTTTTGTTGTTGCAGATTGATATAAATTCTATTGCATCAGTTAGCCAGGTTCTTTGATATGTTAACATTATCAATGCCAGTGACTTGAGTCAAGAATTTGGTTTACTATGTATAAATTGTAATGTGTTTAAGTAATAACTTGTTATGTTTCAGGCATTCGCGTATATAAGACCTCGTGGTGGCAACATATACCTGTTACTTTAACGACAGCAGTGTTGAGACGGGTGCTTCAGAGAGTTGGAGGTTCGCTAGTGCGTCTGCACATTGACCACAACTGGTCCGCCCTAAATGATCGCACTGCACATACTGTTGGCAAATTCTGTCCCAATCTTGAAGAATTAAAGGTATCTGAAACATATACTTTTGACTTTGACCATTGCGACTTGGTCTGATTGTATTGCAGTTTTCAAATATGTGGGAGGCTCAGAAATTCTTTAGTGTAGAGGTATGCAGGGGACTGTCTCCGGGCAGTATGCACCTTGAGTTGCTAAGATATTTGAAAATACATATATTGGTACTTATAAAATTGCAATTAAATCATATTAACCAAACTATTTTACAGATTGTTGGAATGCATACGAAGAATTGGAACCCATTGGTTTATGGCTGTAAAAATTTGAAGAGGCTTATTTTTGTTTCATGCAATAAGGTAATATAAATTGCTTTATATTAATATATTCAAGAAAATTTAAATTTCATACTACATTTTAAAATCAAATTACTAATAAAGAGAAGCACATGGTAGTTTGGGAATAAGGTATATTGGATACATGATTTTATCATAAAAATTTTAAATATTGACTCTTTTTACAGCTTACCGATTCGAGTCTCGTACATATAGTCAAAAGTGACTCCCCAATAGAACATTTGACAGTTGCAAATAACACTCATGTAACGGGACTATTTCTTAACGGTACAAATATCCGTAAACTGCATTCTCTATCGTTTTACAACTGCTGTAGTCTCCAAGGAGCCGTTCTGACTGCAGCAATCGATTCTATGCCTAACCTTACTACACTTAGACTAGACGTTTGTCCCGTCACCATGTGGAAGATTGTACCATTGATATTGAAGAAACTACCCAAATTGGAAGAATTATCACTAAGTGAATATACATCGGGAGAAGCTTACGTCAGACCTTACGATAACGAATCGTTCTGTGAAGCTATTGATAATTTAAAGGAGTTGAAAGTTTTGAATATGACCAGGAATGTCTACATGACAAATGCTGTTCTGAAGCAAGTCGCTCGCTCCTGTCTTAAGCTGACAACTCTTAATGTTTCAAGCTGTAACTCACAGAGGAATATCCAACACATAAGTATGTATTTACAATTTCATGACAATTTTAAAATGTTTTGAAATTTAGAGTAATTTAAGTTTACTTTGGACTCAAAATGTAACTTCCATTCTCGGGGTTGCATATGTTCAAACATAAAGGTCCATCTATTCCCCCTGAACTATAAGCTCAATAAGTAAGAGATGTTTTACATGTTTAAAAGAAGTAGACTTTTTATTAAAAAAAAAAACTTTTATTTATGATAGTATTCCTGACAATGAATTGACATTATACGGAATGTTTTTTTTTTTATTTTCATAGGGGGAGTAGATGAACTAACTCAAAAGCCATATATAATTTTAAAGAGGCCTATGTGCGGTCCGTCAGGTGGTTACTCCGCGAAGGGCGTGGGCGACGAGGGTTTATCCGCAGTATTCCGGTCATGCACGCGCCTGCGTCACGTCGACGTGTCATACTTAGCACAGCTGAGCGATACAGGACTGGCGCACGCGGCCTCCCTGCCCGCGTTAACTACGCTCATAGCACGTGGTAACGCCGCGCTCTCCGCGCAGCCGTTCTCTCAATGCCTCGCACAGTGTCATCTTCTGGAGGTTAGGTTTGCTTCTTCTACAGCTTTGTTACACTAACTCAGATATCTATAATAGATTTGTAATTTTATATTGCTTATTTAACTTACTACCAAATATCGGGGTTAAACGCTAACATTACTTAAAATGTGTCGGAAATGGTTGTTTGCAATATATTTTACTAAATTATTGATTGTTTCCATAGGAAATAGACGCGTGTGGCTGTGACGGAGTGTCGGAACAAGTGGTGGAAGCGGCCGTCAAGGCGCTAGAGACCAAGCCGAGGTCCATTGTGCTCAGGCTGGCCGGCACGCCGGCTGCTCAAATTAAGGTAAGTGTTTATTGTAAATCACAAGCAAGTGGTCTCAGTTAAAAATAACTACTAGAAATATTCTAAAGAAGATTCAAGAAGAAGCCGACACTCAAATCCTGAGCGGACCAGCATGATTACTAAGCCCTAGCTACCTGTATCTTACAGTAGGCTCCTAGCGCCTCTGTGGAGAGATAAAAAACCTGACAAAAATATTTGTGTATTAAGGAGTTGCCAACCCACCGTCTGCTGTCAGTGAACGTAGAGGAGGACCGCAGCAACCCGCACCTCAGACCGGACTTCGTGGACCGTATCTTCGACGAAAGCTCCGACGATTCCTTTGACGACCTTGAAGAGCCTGAAGACCTTGATGATTTCCTAGGAGGTTAGTATTTACACTTAAAAATCTAAGTGTAATTTCTCATATATTTCCCACACAATTTAGTGAAATTCGCCATTTGACGCACACAATGCAATTAGATCGAAAACTTAATGTACATACATACTAAATTAAAGCTCTTATGATAATAGTCCTGTAAGATACTTAATCTTAAGTGGGAAGCTTATTCTCTCTAGTGTTCTTTTTTTAGCATCTAGTCTAGTTCAACAACCTGCAAGTTAGAAAATAATTTTTATTCCAACAGATGACCCCTACATGGATAATTACGATCTGGAAAACTACGAGAATATGCTTGAAATGGGATTACACGTTCCTAACCTACTGCTGCTGTAAAAACCATCTCGACCTCAGCATCTTGTCCGACAATGACAGTGCTTATGCATTTTTATTACTAATAGCTCTAATTGTTTTTTTTTTCCAATCTATCAACAGTGAAAAAGAGACCAAAACTTTTTTCCACTTTTAAATAAAGGTTTCCATGTACATTTTCATTTCTTTAAATATTTCTGTTATTGTGTACATTTTAATTAAGTATAAAAAAAATTGGTGTGTTTAAATATAAATATTTCCTCTATCGTAAATGTCCTTTTCAGATATTTATAGTTGTTTTAACGTAGGTTGGTTGATATCTGTGATGGAATGTTTGCTGTAATTACATATTTAATTGGATTTTAGTCAATATTTATCATTACATGTTGCATATATATATTATATAAAAGTTTCACTCTGTATCCTATAAGTAAAGTCTGAGAAATATTGTGATAGTATAAAATTATTCCAGCGTCTGATTTCATACAGAATTCATTGTGTTTGGGATGGTTTGAATGACAAATATAACCCTGCATGTTGGTGTTTGTTATTATGTTAGTGTTTTAGAAGTGCTTTAAATGTTTAGCTATCATTTGCAACCCACAAAATTTCACTTCTATGACTATATTAATACACAGACAAACTACAATTTACATTAAAGTTCTTAATTCCATACCAATTCTGGTAAAAGATTTTTACTCGTAAAGTCAAACATCAATATGGCCGCCATGTATGGAATTTGACATTATTCAGTTTAGGCTTATAATTGAAATTTAAGGTTAGCAGTCTCTGTTTTGTTTAAATTGAAATATAACAATATGTATTAATACAAGAGTTATAGCAGTGAAAATCAATGGGATGAATACGAAAATTATATGTATATATTATTTTTTATTTGATAAAGGTATGTTATAGCATGAATCTCTGCCATATTGTCGTGACACTATTTTATATACCTTTTTATGTTTTATTAATTTAAACCTTTGATCTTGTACATTGTTTCTTACTTTTTGATCTCAAGATTGTTATAAATTTACCAGTTAGAAAAGTATATACAAAAAAAGATAATAATTAAAAGAAAATCCTATCTTTCAAAATGTTTTGTCCGAGATGAAAGAAATATTAGTCACTAATTCAATATTCATTTTAGTTATATGTTTTGTTAGCAACTTTTAATTTACTAGATTTTACTTACACATCCAATGATAGAATATTTCATTTTCTCAATAGTAAAATGTAACATATTTTAACAACGGGACTATATTTTCTTTTAAAAATTACCTTCTGTGTTGTGATTGTGAATATTGTAAATGTGCAGATTTTATTGATGTAATCAACAAAAAGAAATGAAAAAAACCCTCCTTTTTGCTTAGTATGGTTGGCATAATATAAGTAGGTTTATTTTCTTTTTTGATTTTTCTGTTAAGTGTTAAGGCTGGACCATATTGTTAGCATTGTCTTTGAGTATGCCACGGTCGCCTCAAAAACGATTATTTTGTTATAATTTTAAAGTGATTCGGAGTTTCGATGAGTACTTTTAGTTTAGATTTTTTTATTTCACTTATTATTTAACATTGATGTAGTTATTTTTGTTCCTTATTTTATTATTCTTAATGCATTGTAATCAACATGTTGATTTTATATTTTTTGGTAGGAAGTGATTTTGCTTTGTGGACATATTTAAGAAATCAATGGCTTTATATATTTTTTTCTAAATATTTTTTTTTAAAGTGCAGAATTGTATTATTGTTTGTTTGCCAATGAACTGGACCTTTTGTTTATATCGCGCCCATTTTGAGGTAGATTGAAACAGTCTGTGGTAACTTTATTTTTTGAAGCTTAGAAGTTCTTGCACTTTTTTTTCAAATAAATTAATTTCACTAAAACATTCATTTATTACTGCTTTAAAATAAAAAAGAAGGACTGATGTGAAAATAAGTTTGTTTTTCTGTATTGTGATATTTAAGGTATTTTTCGTTGTCTTGTGATATTTAATTAACAATTGTAGTTGCGTTTTTTATTTCATGAATAAGTTTTTTTTTTCAATTTCACAACTGAATTAATGTTCAATGTTAAAAGTGTTTACAGAAGAAATATACAATATATTTTTTGGGGGTTTCACTTGGTGGTGATTTATGTTTATAGATTTGTGTTTTAGAATAGACTTCATGCATGAAATGTTTTGTGAAATGCTCTTAGTTTTTATACATTTAATTATTGTAACATCATTAGTAAGAAACAAAATATAAACACTCCTCAATAACATATTTTATTTCATTGTCCCTTCTTGTTCCTATAGGAAAATTAAATATAAGCTATTGTCTTAGGGAGTCTCCATGGTTTCTTTATAAATAACAGACAATTTTCCCATTTCCATAAGTATACATACAGTAAGTTTATAACCCATAATGCTTCTGCAATTGCTATAATAAATTCTAAACAAAACAAGTATTTTGTAACTGCTGAATGGATTATAAAGATAAATAGTTCCAAAAATTCTATTATTTATTACTATTTACATCTACCAAAGAAAACTATCAACAAGTGTTAATTTACACATTCATAATACTACAAGTATGAGGTATGTTACATGTTAACATCATAATTTGTAGTTTTTATATAAATATTCCACCATCTCCCGAGCAAACCTACATCAATTACTCTTGAAGGAAAACTGAAGAATGTAGGCTTCAGGTACTGGCATTGCGATTTGTATATGTCACATCCATCATTTATTTCAGAAATATATATCACTGAAGCAATGCCAAAATTCCTATAATGCACAACTCCTTCATTGTAACATCTATCAATGAAACGCAAATGATCTATAGATTTAGGATTAAGACATTCCTCGCTCACTAATATTACGTCGTTGCTAATACATTTCAAGTTATTCTTAAAATCTGCTTCGCTAGGGTTATTCCGAACAAGGCCGTATAATGTTGTAAGACCAGTCGCCCATATAAAAGCTTTTTTGGGCTGCTCCTGTATGTCACTTCTTAAGTCTTGTAACATTTGTCGATAATCAATAAATAGATTTTTCCAATAATCGGCCCATTTCTCGAGTATTGTTCCTTTTAACTTATCAGGAAACCTGATTTTGGCAGGATTCAGCTTTGCCACAATATTCGAAGTTTTTGTAATGTTTCGTAACATTGTGTGTTGCATTTAGTTATCTATTCTTTGTTATAAAATCATTCAAAAGAAACTAACGAAGCTCTAAATGTCTAAACATAACATTTCTTCTGCGGTTCAATAACACATAACCTCTTCTCACAATAATTACTTGACGTTGACGTTGAAGAGAAATATGACTTTTTCCATTTGACAATATCGAAATGTTCAATTTCATGCAATAAAATCAATTTTTAAGTATAGTTATGAAAGTAAAGATTTAAACTTGCATAATGTTTTATTATAATATTACAGTACTGAAAAAGATGCCGGCATTAAAAATTAAACGAACTGTAGTCGTAGTATGTGCTTATACCACATTGTTAACCTTTTCTGTTTGGCATATAACCTCCTGCTCCCTTAGCTGATCGACGTACACGGGAAGATTCTTCAAGTCCCTTCATATTTGGTATTGGAGGTATGTCAAATGGTGGCATTCCTGGTGGAGGGGGCATTTGTCTTGCGATCTAAAAACGAAGGATTGTTTAAATTACAAGTCTAAAAGAAAATACCTAATTCAATATTACAAAAGGTTTAACGCTTAAATAACTAAATAACCGTTGCCCATAGGCCTTTGTAACTGTAAGGTGTTCAAACGGTGCCTATCTTTAATGGACAGAAGTAATTTGGAGGAGCGGAAGTGAAGACAAAGGAAAGTTCCTTTTCCGGAATTCTCTCCCCCCCCCCCCCTAATACTTCATCTACTAATCCTTTGCTTATCCGAAAAGGGTAGGAAGAGGAGTAGTATTTGTTTCCATTACGCAGTGGTAAACCGACATTTCCTTTTCATAAATGAAAAAACAGCAATGTAAACATATACATGGGTGTTATACTTACACGTCTCAAAACCTGATGATAATCCATTATTTTATCATAATTTCTTAAAGCCGAAGCGGCTTTCTCTTGGCAGAAGAATGCCACAAAATAAACATAAAAAAATACTAAAAAGACGTATGGTTTCATTGTCAATGTTGAGTTGCATTGAAATAATTTCATTGTGTTAACTTTTCTGCTTTTAAATAGCGCATCGCATGCAACCACGCGCAATAAAATTGTTCGGCAGACAATACATTTCCTGTGATGATACACGCGCAAGATTACGAGATAAAAATGTGATGATTAAATTATTTAATGGACCACTGTAACATGTTATGTGAGCATTACGAGGCCATAAGGTTTTACATTGGTTGTCTGAACTTACCAAGAAGAAATTAAATATATTTGTGACTACCTAGGATAAACAACAATTATACCTAGATGAGAAAAATAATAAAGATCAATGATCAATGATAATAAAGATAATGTTTGTAATGTTTAGGGGAATTTCACTAGCATCTGGCAACTACAATTAAAATTTTGTGGAAGAACCGAGAGAGTGGTATCAATCAAGTGGTACATAATTTTATGAAAAATGAAAAATAGATATTTTTGGAAAAAAACAAAAGAAAAATTATAGAACATTTACAAATACCAACGATAGTAATTAAAATTGCATGAATTGAGACTTTTTGTTGCCAATAATCTCACAATAAAGGGGATTTAAAATATTCATCTGGTGACACTGATTTTCAATGATACCCGCCAAAATCTTGATTCTTTGTTTCAAATGCAGTAGACAAATTCCAATTTCAATACGCGGAAAAAAGCAACTTCATAGTATACATTTGATTTTTGGATAAAAATGGAATCGACGATTACGCCGGTCGTGGCTGCAGCGGCAGGCAAAATATTAAAGCCGTCAAAACGCTCCGGGCGTGGTGTTCCTCAAATAACTGATGTATATACAAGAAAATGTTCTTGTCGCAGAGATAAAACCATGGTGTTTTGTCGCGCATGCGGTTATTATTGTAATGGACGTATTCGTATAAAATGCCAGCAGCATCCGCGAGTAAGTTACGGATTAATAAAATCACAATAGTTTGTATCAAATGAAAAAGTCAAATCATAAATTCATCCCCCATTTTCTAGTGTCAAACAAGTCATAATTTTTGTTTACTTCTAGTACGTCATTTAGTCCTCGTATCTCGGTAATCCTTTGACAATAATGTTATATTAAAGGAATATCTTATTTTATATTGTACCAAAATAATAGTTTTTCGGGACAACTAAGTGTTTCACATATTTCTAAACATTTACATTTTACGATACATAAGATGAAAGAGATGCTTTGGTGAATATCACATCTTCGTAGTTGCGCATTTGCAGAATATATGTGCAGTTTTCAGCTATGTTTTTGTGACAGGACCTTCAATGGAGTCAAACCATGATTATTAATTTCAATAACAAAATCATTAATGCCACAGTTAATTAGTGTAAACGCTTTTGTGTTTAACTTCTTACCAGGACTTTTTACAATTTTTTTAATTTATTGCATAGTATATTTTCCAGATATAATATCGGTCTTCGATAGCCTTGTTTGTGCAAATTAATCTTTGCAATAAGAAGAGTTCCATCTTATAGGTGCTACTATTTGTTGAATGGGTCTAGATGTCTATAAAACATGGACTTTATAAGTAAATGGGTACATAAATCTTAGAAATACTTAGTGTATGGCTTGAGTGCTCAAAGTGGTTGTTATCAAACAAAATGTTGTATTTTCAATTGTATTTTCAATTCTAATTCAATATTTTCATATAATTTCTGATTTACTTTAGATTTTTAAGATCTGCTTTTGTTAGAATCTATAACACGCTTACAGATTATGTGAGTGTAAGTTTTAAGATACTTTTATATTAAAAAAATAGTCTGGCTAGTTAGATTGCTGAAAGCTTTATAATTATGACTACTTTCTCTTGTTTCAGGTTACTTTTTTATTGGACATATCTGAATGTCCTCGCTGCCATTCCTCTGCATTTTTGGATGAAGTTTCAACCTCATCAAACTAATGATAAACAGATTATCTTGTCCATAGATGATCTATTTGTTTACCCTTGTATATAGTTAAAAAGTTATTTTAAGTTGTGAGCTAAATATTTTTTAAAATATTGTTACTTTTATAATAAAAGTAAACAACATTTTGAAGAATAATGCTTGTGAAGAAGACTTTTTGTTGATTTATTACATTTAAATTTAATTTGAATGTAACTTATTTACCTGATACTAAGAAGCATTGATTGCTTTAGATTTTAGAATAGTTACTTATAGTTATTGATCATAAGATTTTTTTTTATTTAGTGAGTTTTTGTTAAAAATACATACAGCACTATTGTTAACAAAAATTATGTTTAGTATTGTCATAGATATTGAACACTGTTTTATTTTATCAGATGATTGTTTATGATTGTTTTTAGGTGGTGCTCTCCAGTAATTCACTTTCCAGTTGAATAAGTTTAAAGTATGTTGTTTTGGTTTAGGTTTTATAACATTTTTGGTTTAAGTATTAAAAAAAAGTGTAATTTTCGAAGGAATAAAAAATGAATGTTATGTTGCATTATATTTTTTTTTCCATTAATCAAACCATATACTTTTCCAACATTTTAATTGTGTGCAGGTAAAATTAAAATCCGTACAGAAAACAAGGATTTCTGACTACTTCTCTCGACAATTTCTACCTTGGGGGTCATGTTTTTGCGGGTATGTAAATTTCAAATTTGATTTTTAGATTTATATTCTTACCCATTATGACCTATACCCTAAAGAATTAATCTAATTTTGGTGAGTGTGATGATATAATCCAAATGATTTTATTTACATTAATAAATATTAAAGCAAGTTTAACGCAGCACATATATTCTATTATATGAATATGGTAACCAAATTTGTCATTAATGAGAAAACTTGTTAATATTGCATGAAATTGAAACAAAAGTTAACATAACTTTTTTAATTTTACTAATCAATATACACTTACATTTTAATTGTTAATTGTAATAAAAACTACCGACTAAAAAACTAAATAGAAAACCAGCTAGGGACATCTGTTCTTTCTTTGTTTTTCTCTAAATAATCATTGAAACTCTTTTTGGCTTCATCTAAAGACTTCATACTCTCCTCATCCTCTTTTTTTAGACCTTCAAATAGATCGGGATATTTAAACGTCATATCCTTTGGCTGAAAGATATAATGTTTTTTATTAAAATAGAAAAAATAAGTTAAATAATACTTCTTATCATGTATTTTGGACATTAGTATATATATCAGAATTTATACATTAACAGTGAATCAAAGCTATAAGTAATCATAAAATATGAATTGTGCTATATTATGATAGATATTTAATTTAAAGGCACACTTACTAAAACAATGTAGGCACATTTTACATCATCATCTTTCACAACGTATCCTTTGCCATAATCTTTACGGAATTTTCCCATTTTAATTTTAGTCCTCACATCTATAATGGGAATATTGTAGATCTTTTCTAAATAACTTTTAATGTCAAATTTTGTCATTTCCATTGAGCAATGAAATTGTACAATATTTGGAAGTTGCTTTGGATGAGGGCGTACTAATTTCATCCAAAAGTTGGGTAAAAATACTCGAAGTTGGGGATTGCCTCTCTGATAAATAGGATACCTAGGTATGTAAAAAGTAAATATTAGTATATGAACTATCCAAAGCGTAATGTGTACGGTATAAGTATAACTTACCATCGTGTTGACATGGTTAGTACACAACTGGTTTTTTTAAATGTATATAATGGTAATTTAATTTCGAATTAACGAGTAGAACAAAAATATCGATACATAACCTAAATTAGCTGATTGTCTTTCAGACAGTGACATTTGACAGCACAGTTTATTATTTTACTATTAGTTATATAAGGTATTTAAAATAACTTCAACATTCTTTAGTTATTTTTAATTAATAATAGTATACGAATATTCGTAAATTCATAATCTTTATTTAACAATGCAAGCATAATAATGTTCAGTGAAAAGATTTAAATTAAGACAATTGTATACTTGGTTATTTTTCACGAACTGAGAGGTAAGGCACATTTCACGCTTTTGTAGGGTTTGCTCCACTGCTATTGCCCATAATATTTTTTTATTGAAATGTAAAGAGAAAAATAGATTGAAAAATGTTGAGTACATGACAACATGGGGTGTAATAATTATACTGGTAATAACAACTTGAAAAATGTCAGTTTAGTTCAAAGAGTATAATAAGTATACTATAGAAAGAGGGGCAACTCGCACGAAATCGTGGATCCACGGCGATTGTGGCGCTCCATGCGTATAATCGCTGAACTAATTTTTTTTTTTTTGGTATCTATATACGTAGGCACGCTTATTTAGCTCACTATAATAATAACTGATAAGTGGGAATCTAATTTATGAAATTAAAATTGACATTAAATCAATGTTCAAAAATAATACACCCACTTATCAGTTATTATTATAGTGAGCCGATATCAAGTAGCCTTCTATGAAATACCTCTATTAAAATGATCCTATTATTATTGGGGAAATAAAAACAAAATATTTTTATATTTTTGTACATTATTTATTATATTTCTACATAACTTAATTTTAAATCTATGCAAGTACATATACATCAATGACTTTCAAGATATCAGCTCAATATTTTAATTTTTAATATATATATTTGAAAATTACATTTACGGTAATAAATAGTATAGCGCGGTCACAAAAAAATGCATACCCTGTAATTAAAACCAACCCCCAAAATATTTTCAGTCACATGCAAGCTGGCAACTGGCAATTTGTAGTTATTTGCGAGTTTAAACACTCTGAACATATTCTCTTACAACATTGGCAAGCAGATTTTTCTTTACAATAAAAAATTACAAATAAAAAAATATATTTTTTACATATACACACATGGACCCACCTACTAATTTCAGACACATCAGTTTATGGCTCTATAATTCCAGTGATTGGCACACATTTTCTGAACTTCACTGACCTTCTCTCAGGAAGGGGGAAACCGTGTATATGTGCACCTACAACAAACAAACAGAATGTGATTTCCTGTCAAGTATAGGAACTGATATGTAAAATGTATTAGAAGTAGGGCACCATTCAATATGATAACCGGAAAGTATAAATCACTGTGGTGCTAAAAACTACACCAAAATACGAAAATATTTAAATGTTTAAATGAGTCTGACGTATGGGAATAACATGAAAATTTTTATTGAATTGTAACTTACCATAATCAGTCCATCTAAAACACAGTTGCATACAGCGTCGTTTTTCACGAAAACACATTTTAATTAAAAACAAAATGAATGAAACAACATTTAACTAAGAATACAAGAACAGAAATAGAAATACGAAAAAACGTAGCGGTTTGATGACACATGAATGTCTCGATGACAGAAATGATGCTTCTTCTCAGCCATGAGATGAAATGATGTTTACGATTATATAAAAGGTGGCGCCACTTTCCATACAAACCGTCCTTCTTCTAAGTTTCCACCCCCTGGTTTAGTTATAAAGATGGCGGTGGCCTTGTCACCCGATCAAGAGTTGGTGAGTAGAAATAATACAAATTAATGTAATAATTTAACTATGCAATAAATGTAATTTGACCTTGATGCGTTAAAATGTATACTGGAAATTATGCTGTCACTTTATAATTCTTATATTAATCTGTATGATTCCCAAACTGTGTTGTCGTTTACCATGTCATCAGTGTTTGTTTTGGTTTCGAATTGGCTACATGTTTTGTATAATGATTAAATATTTGTTTATTTTCAATTTCTTTCTCTTACAAAGTTAAATTTATCAACGATGGAAATAATTCAATAAATTATTCATTAATATTACTATTAAATACCGCCGGACTATAAACTATCACTTATCGCAGAAAGAACTCTCATTAAGTTTTCCTTTATGTTTGTCATTCTTTTCCCTAATAAGTGATAATTTATTATGTCATATTTTGGTTAATTAACTTAGGAATAATAATTTATTTCCACAAAGCTAATTAAGTTTAATATTTTATTTGGTTTTCCAAGTTATGACGAGTTTTGGCCCTCCACTTCGTCTGTGCAGAATTAATAGTGTAAAGTATTTCATGTGTTACTATGTTTTATGCCAAATTTCAATAATATGTGTTGCACCATTGCGGAGTTATAAATGTGTCAATCAAACATATCCTACTGGAATCCCATAAATATTTCCAGGATAATAAGTAGCCTATCTATCCTTCCACATTGTGTTTTATATCTATACTACATTTAAGATCTGTTTTGCCAGTCCTGAGATACCTTATAACAAATATCCATCCACCCATATTTTCACATTTATAATATTAGTAGTATCCCGAAACTTTGGTATTGGAAAACTTTTGTTGGGTTAATATTTTTATATTTATTCAAACAGTATATTAATGCCTTGTCAAAGTGCTACATAGTTTTGTTGTCATATAAACTATGGTTGTGACATTATAGTTGCATTTTATTTCTGCACATAATGCGGGTACTTTTAAGAAAAAAAGGTAATAAACTGAAATTAAATTCAAGCATTAATTTTTTGGAGTCATCTACTTATTATAAAGATAGCTTTTTATATAGAAACTTTGTAGTGAATGAATACTAGTTTTGTATAATTTTTTATTGACAAAATATTACAGTCACTTAATCCGTAACTGCTTTTTTTTAAATTAAGTATTGTTCGTACTTTTAAATATCTACAATGTCTTGCTTCTGATAGTTATATTTAGAAACACATCTTTTCAATATTATTAGTTCTTATTGTAAATATTTTAGTGCAATGATTTTAAAATAACAGGAAGTATCGATTACTGTCGGCCGGCGACCGATGTCGGTCGACTTCCGGCCCGCAACTCTGTATCGCGTCTTCATCAATTTCTATTCCTATTAATTATTGTAGTGAGATTTATTGTTATAAATAGTCTATTCATTGTGCATATTGAGTACACTTGAATGTGAGCATGTATATAGGAAACAAAACTAGTTTTTAGGGTTCCGTACCTTGAAAGGAAAAAACCGAACCCTTATAGGATCACTTTGTTCGTCCGTCTGTCTGTCAAGACACTTTTTCCCAAAAAGGTGTAGGTATCAAGCTGGAATTTATTTTTAATTAAAATTGTTAAATAAAATATGAAATACTAAATCATTCATCGTCATTTGAACATGCTTATTTGCCAGTTTCATGGAATTGTTTTTTTTTTCATAAGTTAATTTACCGTCAATTCGAAACATTTTCCTCTTAATAATTACATATTGTCGCAGTTTTTGTTAACAGAATGAGTGGGTACGCATTATGTTTCATACAAGGGTTGTATAAAAATTTTCCTACCGTGTACCTTTAAACTTTGTTTACGTAACGAATTGGGAGCGAGCACATCCCATATTTAACTATTTGTTTTCGTCACTTTCATTTACATGTCCGTATGTCTATTAATACAGTCGTGATTTGCAACTTTAAATTAAATGCAAAGGAAATGTGTGTACGGCGACGTATCGTATCGTCGTGTAAGAGACGATGTTGTCATAAGCTGCTTAGGAACCCAGCAACAACTAAATCCGGTAATATATAATGTCGTGTAAAGTCTCTGGAGGGAAACCGAGCTTGGTTTCTTAAAGGGATTTAGGCTAAGCGCCTGCGTTCATCCATCTTCAGCCCAGTTTTACTGCAAATGAATACTGATATCTAATCAGAAAAGTCACACAAAGTAAATAAGTGCAAGTGTGACCACATTCATGAATGTAAGTAATATCTGGTCCTTGCTCAATAACACGTGTCTGTTTGAAAGTCCTTGATTGACGTAGTTTGTGCAAATCAATTTTTGATGCTGGATCTCTAAACAAATAAACATAAGTGTAATTTCGTTGATGGTTTTCTTTGGATCGATATGCCGCTAAATATACTCAGTAGGAGGGATATGTTTCAACGATAATTTAAAGGAAAACAACCATATTCATGCTAAAGGAAAGTGTGTGGGTGTTAGAAATTTGTTTGTCCTATACGCGAACGCCTACGCGATCCGTTGGTTGCGCGAGTACAACCCACGCCGTTTCCAAGTAACAACCGGGTCGCGTGACTCATCCTGGGATCGTGTGCCATTGCAAATTAATTCCGATATACCCACCGGTCCAATGCGACCGACTTACATAACTATTACGAAGAACTGAACCTCATAATGTTACTTATCGTTTTATTCTTGTAATATTTCATAGTTTGATATTACAAAGATTAAAAGAATTAGTTACAATGTTTAACATTTATCAATTTTAATCGCAACGTTCTCTTACAAAGTTTAACGCTACCACGATTTTCATGTATTAATATTAACTCGCAGGCCGAATCGGTTTTACCTTACAACGTAATTTGCAATTCTATTTCCCCGGTCACTTAAGCATTCGTCTCAAAGACTGCATGATCAGATCCCAATAGCGGACTTTGGTCATGTCCGCCATGTTTGTTGAATATTCTATCCATAGGGTTACCAATCATATTAGAGTCCTTCAAGAAAAAAGCATACACCATCCTTAAAGGCCGGTAACACGTCTGTTCATTTGAGATACTGCTTGTTTGTCCTCTTATACAAAAAAAAATGTTTACTACTGTTAAAATAATCATATCGCTTCTCTTACTGTCTGTGTGTGTGTGGGTGAGTGCATAATAATTAAAAGAAAAGTAGTAAATTTACATAAAGAGGTCTACACGGTTTATAGCGTACTGTTTACCTTTATATCACGTTGATCTATAGGACAGTTCTGATTTAGTGTCGCACGCGCGCGATCGTCTGTGTGCCTCCTAATAATGCTAGTTTTTTTTTAATTTTATGTTAAAAATTAATTAACTCATCTGTGACTTTAGTGCCGTTAGTGTTTGATTAAAGTGATAGAAATATGTTTCAGTGTTAATCTAATTTGGATTTATTAAATTATATTGTGTAATATGGTTAGAGATAAGTCATAATAAATTATAATATGGTATATACAGCGTGATCATTATAATGTCTAAGAATAACGAAGTTAATCTAAGTATTAAATATCTGATTACGATTTCAAACGGTAAAGATATCGTCAATATAGCACGTATTTAGATTGAAATAATCGTTTATTCTTCAAATGTTGTTAAAATCACGGTTTTTAATTGCTTAAATAAATTGCATAATTAAATACATAAGATGTAAGGGAGATTCAATTCACAAATTGACGAAGTTTTAGAATTTGATAATGATGTATACGCACGTGCATCGTCTATAGTAATTTCCGAAACGTTTGTGTGCGTTTTAACAAACGTTAGCGACGCCGCACCGGAAACACATCCCGGAAGAATTAACCGTCCGCGCCCCACCACGAGCTATATGCCCTTGTGAATACACAGATTGACAAAACTAAATAAGATGCAAAGAATAAGCTACACTTTATTAGTAGTTACTGATTATTTTAGACATGAACCATGTCTGAGCTTTAAATTGGAATTATTGAAGGAAGTATTAGTAAAAATAGTATAACGCGTATGTGTTACTCTTGTGCGATCATGCGAAGAATAATGAAACAGCCTGTATAAGTCTACATGCTACGTAGGTACATTCGCTCCGTGCTACTTTGCGAGTCAAATGTATTGTTCTCGGTTTTCCCAGCATCCCTTTTAAATTTCGATGGTTTTTGTGCCTGGATAGCCTCTTAACGACGAGACAAAAATGTGTTGTATTCTAGCTAAATACTTATACACAAACTTGTGTCTGGTTGTGAATAATGGAATTAAAAACGTAATTTTTTGTATTTATACAGTCTTTGCAATTTGCATGTTTTCTCGTTAATGCATCGAGCCTTGAAATTATTCATTTGATTTAAATATAATAGTTTCAGACAATCGAAATTAATAAAAGCTAAAACATTTTTTACTATTAAGACTATGTTTTAAATTGTTCATGATATCGTTCTCATATTTCTTTATTTCATATTGGTATACAACGTGTATACTAGTCTTATATATTAGAGGTTTCGGAGAAATTAGAATCTGTTTTGAGATGTTGACAACGCAGCCTAACATTTGTAGGGTAATTTCGGAACTTTTCTTAGTTTTATTATTTTCATACGATCGTGAGAGCTTTTTGTTATAATACTTTATAATTTGTTCTTAAAAGTACAAATGAACGGTGCAAACGGCTGAAGTAATTGACATTCGATATACCGATTCGTTTAGGAACTTTGCCTTGGTGTGATAAAAAGAAAGTGTGACCGATTAGTGAAATCTAAGACTGTTAAATCTTTCAAATCAATAAAAGTTAGCAGTGTCTATGGCTACTAAAATACCGAAAATTGACTGGAAGATGGAGAATGCTGTTATCCGGAAACTCTTGGTCATTTTACGGGTAATAGTTTTGTTGTTTTTTTAAGGATGAAGACAAAAAATCAAGGATTCAAATGACCTTAATATTGGTGCCGTATGGTTAATGTAATTACTTTGGTAGGAAAATGAGTATGTACTAAAAATAAGGGAAAGAATAAACTAGAAAGTAACAGTTATATTTCATACTTAATTTCAATCGTATTACAAAATCTATTGCCTTAAAGCTTTGCTTTTGCAACCAAAGGGATCATATACAAGTTGTTTGCTTTTTCTTTATCCGTCAACGGTAGTAATTTAATGGATTTACAAATAATTCGAAATATGTATCTATACAGAGGAAATATTTGATTGTTAGTCGGCATTAAATAGGCAACGAAACTACTGAGCTGATTTCAAGAATTCTATTACTGTTGGGAAGCTATGCTATCCCCAGGTGACTTAGTTTTTTTTTAATTGCGTAAGGTCGAAGTCGCGGGCAACTTGCTAGTTTCTAATATAACCTCTGAATACCTAATTTAGACAATTTGTATCCTCGCTTGTTATATTGTACATATTTTCACAACGCAATCGGACGGATATTTTAAAATGCACTCGCGAAATATTATTTTTATATTCATTGATTGAAGTAAAACGTTTGTTAAATTTACGATAATTTGAACCAATTTTTCATTAATTTAAAGAATTTTTTTCTGTTTTATTTGTATAGTATACATTTTTCGATATCCTCGGATTTCCAGTTTCGTAATGTTGACAACTATGTTTGTGTCTTATACTCATTTAAGAGGTGTGTTTTTAAAAAACTTCCTCACTATACTATTAGTTTTTTAAGGTTCCGTATCTCATAGGAAAAAAACGGAACCCTTATACGATCACTTTGTTGTCCGTCCGTCTGTAAAGACCCTTTTTCTCAAAAACGCGTGAAGGTATCAAGCTGGAAATTATTTATGTATACAAAAATAATGCAGTGTTAGGAGTAATATGTGTTTTGTCTAACCGGCTTGTTGTAATCTGATGAGATACATGGAGTCTCATTATGCGCCGTTATCATATGGCATTCCAATGTGCTGATTCATATATCACCACTCTAAATCTGTGTATAATATGTTTGAATATGTTACTCTTTTTCGTTATGATACTGGTTCACTATTAAAATAAATAGAAAAAATAAAAATAAAACAGCAGATTATATTTACAATATATACAATATTCATTTAACTTATCATCCTTAAGGTTGGAGTACTTTTATTAATTAAAAAAATCACAATTTTACGTTAAAATAATAATAATGTATCTATTTCAGGCCACAAAGGCGTTTCTGGACGCGCTAAGTGAGGCGGGCGCGAGCTGCGTCTCCAGAGCCACGGCGATCAAGTTCCTTTTGGCGCGCAAGTTTGACGTGGCTCGCGCTCACGCCCTCTGGCGGCAGCACGAGGCAACTCGACGTCGAGAAGGACTCACCAAGTTCGAGCCCTTCGAAGATCCTCTAAAGTCAGAACTTGCCACTGGAAAATTTACTATATTGGTATGTTGTTTAAGTTTAAATTTGGTTAACGTTAGATCCAAAAGAAGACTAAGTAAATCCATATATGTATTGTAGTCGAAAGTATTATAATTCTTTCATATAAAAAGTCGCGGGTTCATTGACCTTTACAACTAGTTTTTATTACAAAGTCTAACTTATTTATAGAGTTTTATTTGATTTTTTAATAATACGACGTCAAAGTTAAAAATATTTCACAATTTCTAGCACGATATTGAATTGAATCATCCGTCGTATTTGGGTCAAAGTTTTTTCAACTTTTTTGTCGCGAAATAAAATAAATCTGTCGAGTGGGTCGTTCATTATTAATTAGTTTTTTTTCCCATCGTTACACTTTGTGTTCTTTGGGATAACTTTTACCTTGATTTAATTAATTTAATAGGCCTAAATAATTACTATCGATTCAGTTGGTCCAAGGTTTTCTCATGAGCCTAACGGATTTCGTTTCTAATGATTAATATATGTTCCTCTTGGTAAAAGGAAGTATGTGTTTTTTAATATCAATATGAGGAGTAATATTTGTGTGTTTTATTGTTCGCAGCCTACCCGAGATGCGACCGGCGCGGCGATTGCTGTGTTCACAGCCAACAAACACTTCCCCACACAGACCACACATCAGACGACGTTGCAGGTACGATGCTTGTCAAGTCTGAATCACTTATCTCTTTTAGACATTATTAATAAGAATACTTTGGCGCAAATGTCGTGCTTTCGTTACACAGTCCATTGTCAGAATGAATACTGAGGGGACACAAACGTCGACATTTTAGTAAGGCTAGTGTCGCATCAATACACTGCTACATTTTCGGATTTTCTTCCTACCAATAGATGGATAGATCATTGCTTAAAAAGATAGCTTTTGCTTTGTTCTGACTTAAAAGCGCTTGTTGATTTTACATGTAATATAATCAACAACAAGTGCAATATAGATAATATAGATTATTAGTTCCAATTCTCAACAATGTCACAAATTGCTACCATTAGCGTAAAAATGAAAATCAAATAGTCACAAAATACTTGGTAATAGAGCCAATACATTTTTAAATGTCAGTGTGTAACATTCTTTCTAAATCATTTTAAATATTGCTATGAAACTGTGTAGGGTGTTTTAAGGATATGAGAGAAGGTTTGTATTCAAAAATCTAGAAAAAACGCGTTTGTGGTATAAACCTATTTGTCTAGTTATTAACGAAATTAATAATAATTTATCGGCGTTCCGATAAAATGCGGTGAGTTTACCAACTTCATTTAATTAACTTCGCTCTCATTGAGATTGTGTCGACGCGTTAATTCATTTACCTTTTACCGTAATAAGATCACGTTCAAAATCCGCTTACCGACGTTAATGCTATATCCAGCTCGCTTGAATTACACTTTTATCGCTTATTTTTAAAGTACTGGATAATTTTCACTACAACTATCACGTTTTAATTCTAAAAAAATATTGTATTTTTTGTAAAATGTTATAGTTATGTGTTTTACAGCCATATTTTTTTTAAATTTTTTGATTCGTCAATAGATGGCGTTGTAATAAGTTGGACAATCAGATTTTTTAATTCTTTTTTAAAGTCCCTTAGTGTACACAATTTCACTAAAAGTATTAAGTTAGTAGGAAAGTCGTGTTAGCTATTTATAACTTAAAACTGCTGAACCGATTGGCCTGAAAATTCGACGGTAGCTTAGAACCCGGACACTGACATATGATATTATTTATTCAAAGTCGCAGGCAAACGCTAATCTACACTTAAAAACACCCTTAGTGACTTACCTTGGGTTTCTGACATCGCAATCTCTTTATTAAACATATCGCTGTCATCTTTGACAAAACAGATATAGCAATATGTTTAAAATTGGATATTAGCCTCAGAAACCCACTGGGAATGAATTAGTTGTAATGATGTAACGTTGTCCAGGGCGTAGTGTACCAGTTGGACGTGGCGCTGCAATCTCTGGAGACTCAGCGCGCGGGCCTCGTCTTTATCTACGACATGACAGACTCCAAGTACACCAACTTTGACTACGAACTCTCACAGAAGATACTCACCATGCTTAAGGTAAGTTTTAAGTTTAAAGTATTTGTATATACTTTACTTTTGGGCTTTTCATTTGTGAAAAAGTTTGTGGCTCCAACAGATTGAACTAAACGGCTTTTGTCGAGGCTCGTAATTATAAGATTTTAGAGACGAGGATACATTTATTTGTAACGAGTAGATTAATTATTGACTTGACTTAAAGTGTTATGTCCCCGTAGTGGGGCAGAGTGCGTCCACAGAGCTTATATTGTCTTCGTTTCTTGAATCTATAAAGTTCTGGCAAGCAGGTGATTAGCCCACTGTGCCCTAGGCTGTTGGCGGGACTGCAGCCTTGGAGTTCGCAGTCGAGTTCAGTTTGTTTGTTTGTTGGGATTAATTATTAATTACGTTTAATTCTGTTCGTTATAATGATACGATATTTAAGAAGAAATAAGTTTTCTATGTATTTTGCTAACAATATAACGAGATTCAAACTTTAAATTTTAATTAATTAGTTTACACCAAAACTTATCATTGCTCTATTAATGTTGAATAATTAAAAGTCTAAAGTGGTATAGCTTTTACTGTGTTCCAATAAAATAATGAGACCAAAAAGTTTGGTTGACACGCGAAATTCAGGTCGGTGAGCACTTGGCAGTTCTCATTTTATTTATTTTTTATTTATTTATTTATTTATTTATTAAAAATGTATACACATTAACAATTAAACAAACAGGTTGAGCGTTGGAGTCTGTCATAGTATGAACTGTGTGACAGACACCGGCGCCTTTCCTTTACAATTTACATAATTAACATATTAGTGCTTGTGTGTGTATGTGAGCGTGTGTGTGTGTGTGTGAGTGCGTGTGTGTGTGTGTTACCGCGTGTCTTTGTCAATTAAATTTGTGTTCGTTTCGTGTTTTTTCTAATTGTAGGGCCAAAGTAACTTTTCAGTTTCATCGTAATTTAAGTTTAGTAAAAATGTTATTACAGCTTTTTTAAATTTCTTAAAAGAAAGGGGGTAAATGCTGATAGCCTTATTAATAGTGTTGTAAAGACGAGGTCCTATGACTGCATAGTGGTGATCGGCAACGGTAGTTCGGTATTTAATGCATTTAAATACGACATCCTTTCTTCGTTTGTCAATCACAGTATTTATATACGGAACTGCTCTGTGATGACGTAACACAGTTTGTAACACAAATAATTTCCTTACAGTTAGTAAATTCCAGGTTTTATATAAGGTTGAACTTGAATAAGTAAAGGGTTTGCCCAGCATAATTTTGAGTATAGCCCTCTGTGCCCTCTCTAACGGAAGCAGGTTAGTTCTGTGTGCACCACCCCATACTGAGACACAATAGTTCAGCATAGACTGGGCTAAGGCAAAGTAAACGGTTTTTAGTAGTTTTGGTTCCACAGAAGATCTCAGCCTTTTAAATGGGTACATGAGCTTTCTGATACGAGCAGCAGTGAGGGAGATGTGTTTTCGCCAGTTTAATGTACTATCAACTACAAGACCTAAATATGTCGTGTCCGAACATCTTTGAATAGGTTGGCATTGACAATTTAGACTCGGAGACGGTCGACAGGTATGCACAACAAGTTTGTAACTATCACTTTGTGGTTGAGATGATAAACGGGAACTGAAGGTAATGTACTTTGTCTTAGCCAAGTTCAATGTCAGAAGATTAGAAGAAAGCCATTTCATAACGGTAGAAAGAGCATTTTCGGCATACAGATGTACAGATTTCCATGAATTACCGTGAACAATTATAGCTGTATCATCTGCATAAGAAAATATTTTCGAATTCGGTAGATTTAGTAAGCACAGACTATTTACATAGATCAGGAATAGTGTAGGACCTAGTACACTTCCTT